CAATCAGGAGAGAGATGGGACGCCAATTTTTTCAAGTCACATCTCTCCCCCTTATGCTTGTACAGGATCGTGATCATCCCCTCCCTCAACGAAGGAGGCATCTTGCCCTCCACCACCATCTCCTCGTACAGCTCGAGCAGGTCCGGGCCCACGAGGTCCCACAGCTCTACATAAAGCTCTGCTGGGAGACCGTCGCAGCCCGGGGTCCTGCCTCGCCTAAAGGATTTAGCGGCAGAGTGCAGCTCCTCCAATGTCAAGGGGGCGTTGGTGGCCGACAAACCTGCAGGATCAATAGCGTTAGAGATACCTGACAAGAACCTGTCGGCTGCTTCCGTGTTTGTTTCTTTGGGGGAGTAGAGGTCGGAGTAGTAGTCGCTGACCACTTCCATCACGCCTTCCTTCCCCTTCTGGAGTGTTCCAGCCTTGTCGCGCAGCTCAGACAGGGGTGTGTGTCCTGAGTGGAGTTTCCTGAAAAAGAAAGAGTTACACTTCTCACCTTTCTCTAGATGCTCCACCTTGGCACGGAAGACAATGTGCCTGGATTCTTCCTCAAAGTGCTTTTTCAAGCTCTTCTTGGTGTCCTCCAGGTCTTGCCTCACGTCCCAGCCACAGTGATGAAGGTCCTGCAGGGACTGCAGCTGACGCTGCAGCCTCCTGAGTTCCCTCCTCCTGGCACACACTTGCTGGCATCTCCTGGCCTGAAAGAAGCTGCGCAGCTTGACTTTCACGAACTCCCACCAGTCGCTTACCTTGGGAAAGAAAGACTTCTCCCCTCGCCAGGCACCGTAGGTTTCCCTGAGCTCCTCTAGCAGTTCCTCATCGTCCAGCAGGGTGCAATTCAGCTTCCAGGAGCCTGGGCCCGGGGCAAAGCCCTCTCCCAGATCACCTTGAAAGTGAATGGCCCTGTGGTCAGAGAAAAAGCAGGGAACCATGGAGAACCCGCGGTGCCTGACTGCCCTGGAGGTGAGCACAAAAGCACCGTAGGTTTCCCTGAGCTCCTCTAGCAGTTCCTCATCGTCCAGCAGGGTGCAATTCAGCTTCCAAGAGCCTGGGCCCGGGGCAAAGCCCTCTCCCAGATCACCTTGAAAGTGAATGGCCCTGTGGTCAGAGAAAAAGCAGGGAACCATGGAGAACCCGCGGTGCCTGACTGCCCTGGAGGTGAGCACAAAGTCAATCCTGGAACGCACAGATCCGTCGGGGGAGGCTCCATGAGTAGTTCACGGAACCGCGCCCCACGGATCCCACTGCGTCCTGCAGGGAAGCCTCCGCAATCACCTCCCGGAGCAGCTTCGAGGTGGCGTCGAGTTTTGCGTACATGCTGGAGCTGCGCCCATCCTCCTCTATCGGACAGTTAAAATCACCGCCGATTACTACTGTTCTCGTTGTGACGAGTTGCGTTCGCAGGGTTTGGAAAAGTTCCAGCTGCGCGTTCTTCTCCGGGGAGGCGTACAAGTTGATGAGCCTAACGGGCTCCCCCGCCCACGAACCGTCTATGACCAAAAGGCGGCCACAGACGAGCTCATGGACGGAGTCAACAGTGAAACGTCCTCCCCTGATAAAAACCTCTACCCCTGCGGACTTGCAATCGCCACCCCCAGACCAGTAGGAGGGACCGTGGGTCCACTTGGAGGACAAATGAGTGTACCTCCTCAGAGGGGGAAGTGCGCACTCCTGAAGCATGTAGACATCACTCTGCTGTGTGGAAAGAAAGGTCAGCACAGTCTGCCTCCTAGACACATCCTTGATGCTCCTCACATTAATGGAAAAGATAGAGATCTCAGCCATCATGGGAAAGAGATGAAGGGGTTAGTCGGCAGGGGCTGTGCTTACCTCCCCTGGAGAGGGGGGGCGACCTCTGCGGCCTGGCCAGGGTCCTGGCTCAGTCCGATCTGGTTGAGGACCTCGTTGAGGACCTCATCGAAGTCGGTGGAGAGATCTGGCCCCGACCGGGTCAGAGCCATCTCTTCTTCCACCTCTTCCTCTTCCTCCAGTGTGTCGAGGTCCTCCCCCACGGGGTCGGGACCTGCGGCATCCTGGAGGACAGCAGGCCGTTTGGTGGTGGAGGAGGATTCCTCCGCCGCCGGGCTAGCCTGCTCCTTCTTCTGCTTCCTGATCCCCGCCGCAGAGCTGCTGACGGGGGTGGCAGGGGGAAGGGGCGGGAAATCCTCCTGTGAGGACAGGTCAGAGGGGGGTGGAACCGGGCCCGGGAGGGGTGGGGCAGGGGGGCAAGTGGGGCAGGGGGGCCAGGGGTGGGGGGGGCCAGGAGGGTCAGGGGCAGGAGGGCCAGGGGCGGGAGGGGCAGGGGCGGGAGGGGCAGGAGGGCCAGGGGCAGGGGGGGGCAGGAGGGCCAGGAACGGGGGGGACCAGGGTCCGGGGGGGCTGGGGTGGGGGGGGGGGGTTCCTCTTACCTGGGTCCTTCTGAGGCTTCTGTGGCGCTGGTTTGGTAGCAGGGCCCTTGCTCAGGGCCCCAGCGTACGTCCTGCTTCTCTCTGGGCAGTCCCTGTAGACGTGCTCTGACCGTCCACAGAGGTTGCAGGTTTTGGACCTCGGGCAATCCTTGGTCTCGTGACCTGCAGACCGGCAGAACCTACATGAAAGCACATGGCAATCCTTACCCTCGTGCCCCGGCTGTCCGCACCTGCAGCATGACTGGGGTTGATCCGGGTAATGTAGGAGTCCTGCTGACGCTCCCAGGGAAAAGCACTGTTGCAGGTGTTGGAGATCTCCAGCGGGACGATCTCTCAGCAATCTGCAAAACACAGACCACTTACCTGTCCAGAAGCCGTTGGCGTCTAGTATCCGGACTGGGTCCTTCAACACGACGCAAAACCTTTGGAGATAGGTGGCGATGTCTCTTCCAGGGACGTGAGGGTTCCTCATGGATACCGTGATCCGCCTTTCGTCCCTTTTTAATGGGAGAATTCGCAATAAACTTGCGGAAAAGGGAATCGGCCCAGAGGTCTTCACCGTCTCCCAGTACCTTCTGCATACCTGTAATGATAAAAAGTTACGAAGAAAATACCTTTCATGAAGGATTGCACCGACAGGGTCTCTGCCTTGCTAAATCCTTGTTCAAGGATCATCTTCTTGCCGAAGACTTCCGGGGTCATGTCCGGGACTCTGCCTTCCACTTCTTTCAGCCGCAGCACGACTGTCTGCTTCATCCAGGGCTCCGGGGGGGGAGACCGTCTGCAGGGCCGGAGCGTTCTGAGGTGGAGGTGGAGGCGGAGGGGGCTTCTCCCGGGGTCTTGGCAGGGGCGGCGGCGGCGGTCAGCGGCTTCTTGGTGGTCTGTCTCTTCCCCATCTTGTCGCAGAGGAGTTCTCAGGAGGGCTTCCCAGAGATCTTCAGCGGATTCCTTCTCCTTCTTCTTCCTCGGCGGCTTCACTCTTGCTTAGCCTTTGAAAAGGCTATTGAGCGTCTACTGCCCGGAGGTAGTAACGCAGAGTGAACAAGGGGGGGGAAGATCACAAACTCGTTCTGTGTGGGGGCTAAGCCTCAAACCCAATAGCAGCAAGCAGGTGAAGCCGAATTTAATCGACGATCCTACCAGGCCGAGTAGAGGGTACCCCACACAGACCAAATGGCTGGGATAGATGCAAGTGGTTCTCAACGTCCTAGCTGGAAGCAGGGACACCCCTAAAGGCAAGGTCGATACTACACTTGATCTTAGCCAAAAGGCCGAGAAGCGATCCACTGAGCCAAGCTGTTTCAAAACGTACCGGTATGTCCCTACTGTAATCAGCCCGCTGGATGCATGTATGTACGGTAGCTGCGGCTACATACAGTATACACTGGGCCAATCACGGTGAGCGATGTATTCTACTAATGAATACAAAGCCTGCTCGGATTGGCTGAGGTTGTGCCGTTATCAGCTCACCTCTCTGACTCAGCCAATTCGAGCAGGCTTTGTATTCATTAGAAGAATACATCACTCGCAGTGATTGGCCCAGTGTATACTGTATGTAGCAACAGCTAATATACATACACGCATTCAGCGGGCTGATTACAGTAGGGACGTACCAGTACGTTTTGAAACCGCTTGGCTCAGCGCAGTATACTGTATATACCGCACATCCAGCGGGCTGACAGATTAATCTGTCATAGGGACATTTGTTTTGAGCCAGCTTGGCTCAGCACGGTATACTGTATGTACAGTATTACCACACATCCAGCCAGCTTGACCCAAACAAACTCAAGGTTCACATTTTATACCCCGCGTATAAGACGACCCCCAATTTTTGGGGTATATTTTTAAGTATAAAAAGTAGTCTTATACGCCAGAAAATACTGTATATATGTTCCAATAGTGGCCATTTGAATGTTAACTTTTTTTTTTACCTCTCCAGTATAATGGAATTAATTACTATATTGAGTAAACAACTGGAATAGTGCTTTAAATGATTAAATAATTGAATTTACGGACGGACTTTATGGAACCAGAATAATCAATTATAATGTTAAAACTGGATGATGTAGAGATATTTAAGCATCTTTAAGTAAATTTTAACAAAACCTTTATATTATATACCGACAAGATTTGCATATAATACATAATCCTTTTATATGAAAAGTCATCAGGTATAATGTTGGAATATGATCACAATAAGCATGGCTTCCTATGACTTTATATAGGTAATTGATAGACTGTGTATTTCACATACTATTTTTTATATATAAACCACTTTGGCTCCAGAAGGTTTTGCCTCCTTCATGACTATGCCATTTTTTTTTCTATTTAGCACTGCGCTACTGAAAATTGCGCAGTCATGCAACACTGTACCTAAACAAAATTTATATCATTGTTATTCACACAAATAGAGCTTTCTTTTGTGGTATTTGATCACAACTGGGTTTTTTCGGTTTCTTATTATATAAATGAAAAAAGACAAAAAATTTAAAAAACAAAAAAGAAAACAATATTTTTTAATTTCTGCTATATAAAATATCCAATAAAAAGGTGACCTTGCTAAAAAGAATCCCAATAAGTGTACATTGATTGGTTTGCATGACAGTTATTTACAAAAGGATAACAGGCGCATGGTGTAGTAGTCCATGTATGTTTGATGAGTTCCAAATGGGCAGGGGGGTGAGGGTAGTTCAGTAGGCACTAAGGGCAAGCTGTGTAGGAGCGAAGCATAACTCTGCAGAAGGGAAAAAACCCCTGCCTGATGAAAGAGCATGCCTGGACTCATCTCATCCTGCACATGCTCAGAAACGCATCACATTTTGATGATGTAAGATGCCACATGTGCTGATCCCGGACATCTTGGAGACTCTGCCAAGCTCCACCATCCATGCTGCATATGCACAACACCATTTGCTGGCAGACACCTTGGAGATTCCACCAGGCTTACCATCCATGTTACACATGCACAGCACCACCTGCTGACAGACTCAATCGATCTCCTCTCTGGATCAGACACACAACATCATCTGGCTATGGACATCTCACCCTCTTACCCATGACCCTGTTTTTAAATTCTAAGATGTGAGTTAATACTTATGTTTTTATTAAATACCTTCACAGTACACACTTAGAGGCGCTGTGTTTCCTTGTTTTCCCTTTTGCATTACGGTTATAGCTACTATAAACTATAGTATATATACTGTAATTTTTATCATTTTGTATATACTAGTAGTGGCGGTGATCAGCAAATTATACTGGGACTGTGATAGTGTGGAAGGCAATCTGATACTAACTGGCACTGGGTGAGAACTTACTAACTGACACCACCAGTGATACTAATACAGTGATCAGTGATAATACTATATACTGTCACTGTACTGATGACACTGGCTGGGAAGGTGTTAACATCTTGAGGTAATCAAGAGGTTAAATGTGCCCAACAAGTGTTAATGTGTGTATTATGTGCGGATTTTTACTAAAAATCTCTCTGTTCCTTCTCCCTTTGCAGGAGAAAAAACAAAGAGATTGTTTCCTCTGTACAGAGCCCTGTGTTGACTGTTGATTGACAAAACAGGGCTCTGGGCTGTTATTGGACATTTGATAAGCAAGTTCCAAGAATCATTGGGTAGGTGTGTCACGTGTATACCTTATGCCCAGAAGAGACCAGTGACATACAGGTACATCACTGTGCCTGTACGGGCCACCCGTCCTCCCACCGGCCCGCAATGTATTGCAGACCTTAAGTGGTTAATATATGTGTTGGTGACTGCGTAGATTTGGTGTGTGAACTTTATGAATTACTAACCTGTCTGTTTTATCCTAATGTTTTCTCAGATCATGGTTATTTGATATGAGTAATCAATAAAGTTGTATAATTTTAAGTGTGAATACCTCAAAGTTGTGTAATGTATTATTCACTATATAAACCTTTTTGAATTATTTCCTATAAATAGGTTTTGATTACTGTCTGTGTCCCATTAGGGAGATTTATTCTCTTTAGTTGTCACTGATCCCTAATGTCCCTGGGAAAGTAAATAAAAAAATTATTAATAAATAAAATGAATACGAATTTTTGAATTGCCAACCAGAGCAGGAATAGAGGATACATTTTCCAATGGAAACACTTGTTTCTGTGAAAACTGTCTAAGAGAGGATTTGTCTCACACTGGATAGATATCTTCTTGCTTCCTGTCTACAGCACAGGAAGTGCTCCAAAATGCACTTAAGATGCACAAAATTACTTAAAGCGGAGTTCCACTCACTCTGTAAAAAAATAAAAGTCAGCAGCTACAAAAACTGTAGCTGCTAACTTTTAAAAAACAGCCACTCACCTGTCCCACGATCCCGCGTTGCCCCCGCCGCAGCCCGTTTCACTGGCCGTCCTGTATTCCAGGTGTTGGTATCTTCAGTGTGGGCACCCAGCTGTGACAGCTTGCGGCTTCACTGCCGGGTGCCCACTGTGTATGCGCGAGTAGTGCTGTGCTTCAAGAATGGCCCTGTCGTCTTCTGGGACCTGTCATGTCCCACAAGACTTTGGGGACGGAGGGTAGGAGGACAACTTCCGCTTCTAACCTCCTAGGTGATCGCAGCGGAAGTGGGAGCGGGTACCTGTCAAATGTGGGTACCTGTTCCCCCCCAGCTCCCCAAAGGTGCCAATCCTTAATGGGGAGTTGAAGACCAATCTTTAAAGCCGAAATTCCCCTTTTGGGTGGAACTCCGCTTTAAGCTGACCATAGACAGTTCGAATCTCACCTGGTTCAGCAGGAACCAGCCAAGATTCGAACCATGTATAGGCAGGCTGAATGTACCCGAGGGGATCAATCAATCAACTTGGGTACAAACAGCCTGTCATGTTTTACATGCAATTATCACTAGGAGCTGTTACACCCACTAGCAATAATCAAACCTGCACTATTAGCAAGTAATGAGTTGAATGTTTCTAAAGGCCTGAAATCCACATATGAGACAACTGAGTTAAATAACAGGATTTTAATCAACCCAAGAGTTCTTTGGATTAAGAGACTGGACATCGATTTCCCTTTCCTTAACTATCATTGTCACTGGAAGATCAGATAAGTTACAATTTGATATAAACTGTTTGTCTTATATAATCTCCCACAGATACGGAATGCTTGCACTTTAGTATTATGCTATTTATAAATCAAGCTGCTATATTAATTAGAAGAGAGAGAGGGAGGTGTGTTGAGTCCTGTCCTGGGGTGACAATGCTGCTCCTGCGTAGAGACAGTTTGGTGGTGAGTGAGTGTTGTCCCCCTAATATAGGAAGTGTATTACTGTATTACATCAGGTAAAAATAAAGAAAAAAAGCTAAAAAAAAAAACAAAAACTAATGCAGCCACCACATGTAAGGACTGGTAAGGTGCATTAAATTACCATTTTGTTCTTGGGTTTAGATAAATAAACCAACACAACAAAATTCTTCTAGTCATTTAAGCAAAGCTTTGGCACCCAGGCTGTTCTACGGTAGAAGAGAGTTTTTGTTTTCGTGGTTTTTTTTATTTCAAATAAAGTTTTCATCTTCACCTTTATTACTTTTTAATGCATTTCAATGAAAAGTCATTTTAAAAAGGTTATAAGTGTATCTCATAATTTGCGAATTTTATAAAAATGCTTTTTTAACAGGATATTTTGTTTTCCTATTTGCCTGTCTGAATAATGGGTGCTTTACCTTTTATACAGTGGGGACTGATGGATTAAGATAAGAGATGAGAAAATATTAACATGAATCTTACACTATTGAATTAGAGTTAAGAGACTTTATAGACTCATTTCTAAGCTGTCCTTGGTACTTACGAGTCAGCATAAAGAATCATTCCCTGTATAAAACTGTGTCAACAGGGGATTGGTACAGCAACATAGTTATTGCTTATCTTAACACCAGATGTTCTGACCTCTAGCACGCCATTGTAGAGACTTGGACTTACAGCCAGAAATATGGGAACACTGCCAGACTTTTGGATTTTAGATTTGTAACAACTAAACAATTATTGGGTTAACAATATTAGAAGCAGTAATGTAAATGCAATAACCAGCAATATGTGTTGCAAGAAACGATCATCTGGACTTCTGTCAGCTTTCCTATCTGGTATTAAGTAATGTGAACTTATTGACATCATACAATACATGCATTCATATCTTTATGTTTTTTAGTGGTGTACCCAGAGAGAAGATTCCTAGTTGAAAAAAATAGTTTAGGCTTCTATGCTGAAGAGTCCCATATGTGTGTCCTCCTGGCAAAATGTGATATATTGCTTGTATACTGCACCCTATTTTGTGCCACCCATTGTAGTTATCCATCCACTTCATCAAGCTTGCAGATCCTGGGTGGCTAGTTCTTCCCCTTTTCGGGTGTACAGTATGTATGAAACCTATAGGTGCCTAATCCTGGCAGCACTTACCCCCAAAAGGAACTACTGAAGATCATGTTCTTCTTTCCTTCTCCCACAATGACCTATCAAAACTGGCCCAAAACTCACTGACACACCTTGTGGCGATTGATGGGCCTTAATAAATGGCAAAGCCCTTTTAAAAAGTGAATCAAATGGTGAAATAGCATAAAAGTAAGCAAAGACAAGGCTAATGAACAGAGTAGAAAATAAATAGCTCATGCACAATTCCTGAGAATGCTAACACACAGAAACTGAAATGGGATGAGCAATACTGTATTGAACTTAAGAGAAGAATACTCTACTATACCACTCTCAAGTAGGATAAAACAATTATAAATAAATTATAATTCTTCCCAATGTCTCTGGGTAAACCAGTCTCATACTAAAAAGGAATCTACCCACAGGGTCTTAATTTGTACAGTACAGTCCCTCTCTACACCACTAGCCAGTGGTGAGATAATTGATGTTGGCATGCATTGGGGTCTAAAGTCCTGCACTGGAATGCTCAAATAATGTGTAATTCCAAAGGGAGCAACACCATCCAGCAGAACAGGCAGCGAAGGAAGTCTGTGGCTAAGAGGCCTTTCACAAGTTCTGTTGTCTTCAGGACACCCACCATGCTCTAGTGAGAGACCCTATTGGCCCACTGCTCAACCTTGTGGTGTCATAAACATGGCCTTTCCTTTACAGGTAGCAGGTACAGAGCCACGTAGGGAACAGAATGCTTAGTAGCCACAGGATGTGAATCAGTATGCTCTGCTCTGCAGCACCAGGGGTCTTTGATGCAGAAGATAACCGAGTAGCAATGGACAAGGGGCTCTCCTCACTCTGCTCCCCACATGAGACTGGCCCCTTGCAGTACAGGATTTTTTAGCTTTCTTGCTCCTCCTAGCATTCATGCTCCTCTATGGCTCCCTGAGAGCTGAAATCCTAATGTACTCCTCTTCTCTGCCAGGGTTGTGTCACTGGTGTGGGACTACCTCAAAACTGTGCTCAACATGATCTACTTGTTTTGTTTAACAAAGGTCAGTCTACATGAGCATCAGAAAACTATATGGTAAACAGCACTCACTAGATACGTATATAAATGTTAGTATCCAGTTATATTCTGTGTATCCAAGATAGAATCCAGGCCTTTTTTAAAGCAATCTACTGAGCTGACCAGAACTAACTCTTAAGGGAGTCTATTCCACATTTTCACAGCTTTTACTGTGAAGAAACCTTTCCATATTTGGAGATTGAATCTCTTTTCCTTCATATGTAAAGAGTGCCCCCTTGTCCTCTGTGATGACCTAAGGGTGAATAACTCTACACAGAGTTCATATATGAACCACTGATGTATTTATACATGTTGATCAAATCCCCCCTTAATCTCCTCTTCTCAAGAGAGAATAAATTCAGTTTCTGTAATATTTCCTCATAGCTTAGCTCCTCCATACCTCATATCAGTTTGGTTGCCCTTCTCTGTACTTTCTCCAGTTCCCCGATGTTTTTTGTGAATTGGTGCCCAAAACATAACTGCATATTCCAGATAAGGTCTTACGAATGATTTGTACCGGGGTAATATGATATCTCTCTCTCTGGAGTCTATACCTCTTTCAATACAAGAGAGGATTTTGCTTGCTTTAGAAAC